AAGGTTAGCCGGTCGGTTTCTTTCAATTTTATGAGTTGCTGAGAACACGCCCCGGGTTCGTAGCTAGTTATTGACGACGTACGGCGATACGCTACAAATTACCACACTGTGTAACAGAGTTATGTTGCCACATAGTGGTTAAATATCTACCTAAAAACGAAAGAGAAAATGTACTTAAACTTATGTTGTTAAAACTTAGCTTCTAAAACTATGTTTCCACCTAAACTTTTGGTTGGTTATTAATTGGATAGAAAAAAGCACACCGTACATGTAACGTCATAATAGCATACCATCACTATAAGTGTTTTAAATTTAAAGTTTTCATGTAATATTTACTTTAGTAAACTTCGCTCGGGATAAATTATTGTGCTTTGAAAAATCAATAACCAAATTTGTCCAACGAAGTTCTACAGTATAAAGAAGTGTCATAAAAGTTTTTAGGGAAAATAGCTTTCTCACTATTCGAGCTTAAAAGTTACTAAAACAGTGGGGCAGTAATAGCATAGCAACAAGTCATGTGTCATTTTATATGCAGATAGACTTATCATCGGTTTAAAAATCACAAATCGCATGTGTGGCTTTTATGTTTATTGTTTATTAATTTCCTAGTTAAATATTAATATTTTTAGTAATAACTACAGTTTTTTTAAAACAGAATAAAACATTTTACTTGAAAGAGCTACACTGTCTTTTGGTACTTGCAACTTTATTTTAAACGTCATTGTTCATTGTCAAAAGCATATGTCTGACCTGAAAATCCAACATCAAAATCTTGTTCAAAATCCGGCAAATAACATGTGGTCTAATAATTTCATTCATCAACCAAATAAGAAAACAATAACATATATTGTTACTCTTTCTTGTTTTGACACACATTTATTTTGACAAAGGCTTGATTTAAGAAGCAAAAGATGAACGACTTGCCTTGTAATGTGTGCGGAAGCACCGATTTGAATCTTGTAGACGGTTTCTATTATTGCGTAGAATGCGGTACCCAAGACGTAAATGTTCGGGAAACAATAGTCGGCGACTCATTTTTTGCCGATGGCACAAAGCTTGTGGCACAAGGAAAGAAGTTTTCAATAATGGTTAAAGAGGGAATACAAAGTAAGGTTAACTCATTTATTATTAGTTTATCCGCACTCAGAGTCATAACACTCACTGTAGATCTAGTGTAAGAAATTAACTAAGGGTCTCCCTTAATCACTACTATATTGATTTCCTTTGGTTTTATGCAAAATCACAATTCTATTTTTCCAAGCTGAGTCATAATCACATTTGAAATTTATTATTTTTAGTGAGTGCAGAATGGTATAAATGGCATGCATACAATTTCATACTTTATGGTCTCACGGAAGAGTTGATAAAACTTGGAGCTAAACAGAGCATCAAGATGAAAGTATTCTGGATATGGACAAAATATATGAAGAAATTTCATGAGAAAGAAGAAAAAGAAAATGTAGAGTAAGTTTTCCTGCTATACTAATACTGTAGTCATAATAGTACCAATCCGATAATAATAATGAAGTAGCAGCTCGTGCAGAGGCTCCTCAGGGAGTTCTCGAGCTTAGTTACTCATAAACAAGGTTTAGTCTAAGCATCTGCTCTCGGCCACCTCAAGCCCGGTGAATCTGTAAATGCCTCTTCAAGGCAAACAGTGGCTATTTAGTCACAAAAACAACTAATAGTACTATAGGTATGGTTTGGTATTGTTGTGGGTTCAAATCACACTAATGTAGACTTATGAACTATGTTAATGACACATTTTATGCTTATTTCATTAAAAAAGACAAATTTGATATTTACATTTAATACTATAAAGAGAAAGATTTGTAAATTTATGTGACAAACTCAAAAACAGCTGTACCTATTTCTAAAATTCTTTCATACATACTTTGTTGAGAAATATACATAGTTATGCGTATATTTCTCGACAAAGTATGTATAAATTTGAGAACTTATAGTTAATGATGTATGTTACAGCAATCAGAGTAAAATTGAAGATACCACACATAAAAGAAGAAGATCTAATAGTTCTGAATCATTAGACGGTACAACAGACCCTGACTCTGAAGAAGAAGAGACTAAACCCGCAAAATATGTTAAAAACATAAAAATAATCACAAAAGGTTTACTATTAGCTATATTATATTTAGCTTTGAATTTTGACAGAAGTCCAATACAATTATCACATTTATTCAGATATATTAAAGAAGATAGATTAAGTCTTGTTAAATGTATAAAATTCGTACCTAAAGAAATTGAAACGGACCTAATACCATGGTGGAAAAACTTTTGTCAATGCAAACATGATTATAAATCTAAAACAATATTGTATATTGCTATGACTTGCATTAAAGTTTTGGATCTCGGTTATCCGATAGTTCCTGATTTTAATAAAATAATAAACACTTATATTAAAGAATTGTGTCTACCTAATGATTTTAAAAACTTAGTACTCTCTTTAATGCTTTATCAACCATATGATTATGTTAAAGTAAATAAATTGACAATAAAGAAAACAGTTCGAATACCTGATTATGAATCTGTTGCAATGGCTTACGTACTTATAGCACTTAAAATGTGCTTCGGGTTAGATGGAAACTATGAATTAAAAATATCAGAAACAGTCGCTAAAATTAACAATGATGAGAATCGTATTAAATCATACAAAATAGGTATGTACGTTGAAACTACTGATAGATTGTTTTCATTCGAAGAATGGACACGTTTCTTACAGTTCAGAAAGATTTTAATCTGTCAATATTATTTACCAATGGCAAGACATTATAATTCAGAGGTTGATGATTACGTACTTATGGAACATTTAGAAGAAAGACGCAAAAGAAATGTTAAACTAAGTGATGAAGTAACGATGGATATTTTAAATAAAATACCGTACACAAGTAATATGAATGTAATACCTAAAATTGAATTTCTACCTTCTTTGATTCCATTATCTACATATACTGATGTTGTATTAAATATTGTTCCTAACGATGAAATAAGATTGTTGTTAAGCGAGGATTTCTCTCAATACAATCTAAAATATGCAATAGAAGATCTTAAACTTAAAAATATGGACGACGAAGTAATTGTTGTAAATGGTATAGATGAAACAAAATTAAAAATAGAACCAAAATTAGATAAAACCAAGGATGAAAAACGATCTGATAGGAGTATGGTTTTTGTAAGAAATTGTGAAAATAAAAATTGGTTGAAAACAAAACCTCCCGCTTTAGAGCATATCAAACAAAATGAAGATGAAACTCTAGTTTCAGATAATGGCTATGAATCTAGTTTGGATACAGAAGTTAAAATTGAAGAATATATTAAAGAAGATATTAAACATGAATATTTTGAAGAAGAACAAGAAGGTATTAATATATTTGATGACGATTTTTTAGTTAAAGACGACAAATCAATTATAGACGAACGAGGAAATATAGAAATCGAAATACAAAATTTTGCTACATCAATTTCAGGCCAACAACATATACAAATGGAAGAAAATTTCAGTACAGGACAAGTAGAACTTGAAGAACCTGGATTAGATGTTGAATTTAATGAAAATAATTTCAATAAAGAAGCAATTATAAACGATTTAATGGCTTTAGCAATGAAAAAGTACAAAGTTAAATTACCAAGAGAATACGTTCCAAGGCCAAGAAAACGTAAAGCAGATAACGAAAACATTGAACGTTTGCCAAAAAGACAGAGAAGAAAAACTTGTGATGTAAAACAGAAAATAAATGATATGATTGGTTCATATTATAGTCAAATAGAAACAGATATATTAACCAAAATCTCCGAGAAAGTTAAAGAAGCTTTTGAGAGACAAGAAAATGATCAAGATGTCAACATAAGTGATAATTTACTACCAAATGATAATAATGGTAATGAACAAATAAATGAAGTAATTGATCATGTAAATAACTCAGTAAATACTGATGAAAATGACAGTATAGAGAATATAAATGGAACTAAAATTGAAGAACAAAATTCAGTTACTAATTTAAATAAAGAAAATCCAGATTTTGATGCAAAAACACATGATATCGGCCAATTGTTTGTTAAATTAAAAAATGTTGAAATTGATGAAACGGTAGCTATAAGTGAAGATCCGATATTAGATGAAATAATTGTTAGTAAAATTGAAAAATTCACTAACAAAAAGAGTTTTTTCGATGAAATACCAAGTGTAAGGAGAAACAAAATAAATGTTTGTTTATCAGATGACAGTTGCGATGAAGAAATGGAGCAAACAGATAGAAGTAAAGAATATTTCCCGCCTTTAATCAGTTCAACACAAATCAGTAAATTTAATTATTGGCTTAGATTTTACAATACCGATAGTATAACTAGATATTCGCAGGCTAATTTTAAATTCGATTCCGAACTAAAAGAAAGGTATCCAGCTAGTTTTTGTTTCGTTATGAACGAATGTACTAATATAGTCTGTTGTTCGACATTTAATCTTTATAACGATATGCAGAAGTTAGAACAAATGATTTTGAAGAAACTAAATATTTCATACAGATGACAGTTTGTTAAAACTTTGAAGGTTATATTGTTTTTTAAATTAAATTTTAGTTAACGTAACTGTGATTATTGAGAAAATAAAAGTTTTATATTGAGTAAGTAACCTATTTTAATATGCTGATAGATATTGTACCTTTTTTTTTCTTTTAAAAGCGAAATTAGCTTCCATTTATACTTTATATTTTAAACTGGTCATAAATTACGATGATTGGTTTAAAATATATCTTTAGGTGTTTCTTTTAAATCTCAGTTTTAAGAATAAGTGTTAAATGTTCCTAATTTATATCCTGAATATATGTTTTTTTTTTTATATTTACTCTTGTTTTTTATAAATCTACAAAATGACATTGTTACAGTACAGAGTACAGTGATGTTAAATGTGGTCCAGAACCCCAGGTTCAAATGTACGGAAAATAAGTTAAAGAAAAGGTAAATAAAGTGGTATACAAAAAAAATGAGGAAGTTGGTTTTTAACACAGATTAATGGACAGACTATAATCGTATCCTGTGCTTGTTTGATTAACGCCATATTGGCGCTGACAGTGGGGGTTGTTAACGGTGGTGGTAATTCGAACTAAAATTACAGATAAACTAAACTGTCAATTTAAAAAATGGCGTTTAAGTCGGAACTAAGCAAAAGCTGTAATTTCTTTATAGCATCCTATCCATTTATAGAAATTAGTATTGACAAAATTGAAATAAATCATTCCATATTCAAATAAATAATGTACATTGACATGAATTAACGTCAAAAGCTCTAAACATTTAATAAAATGTTAGTGAATAACATTGCGACTATTTTGCGTACGAGTAAAAATTATTTTATTGTACCAAAACGAACGTGGACTCAAGTTGGGCACGTTATTTCTATTCCGCCCAGAGTAAAATGTTCAAATACGGTAAGAAATACATTGCTAATATTAAATTATTCACATAACTTGGCGAGTCTTAAATTTGTAAGAGTCACTGCGCAACCCGCAATTTTAAATGTATTGGATTAGGATGGGAGAACATTGCAACTTGCCGAGGGTCGTCAAGATAATTTCAAATTATTATACTAGTATACAGCATTATAATATTAAAAAATACATTAGAAATCAGTCTGAAAATTCTTCTGATACGTTAAATGTGTAAATATGAAAAGGCTTTCAATAATAAGTACATTTTTTGCAGGAAAAGTTATTGCACATGATCTTCATAGTCACCATGTGGTTGACACCAGCACTCTATTTTCTAACCCAAATAAAAGTGTGGCGGCGGAAATACATTGAATAAAGTTGTATTGAAAGTTAAATAAAATTTATTTTAAATATCTCTTTTTTTATAGTCTAAGTGCTTTGAATGGATCTTTTTCGCTAATTTTTTCATGTGTTTTTGCCTACTAAGAGAGAGTTAGGTCGTGGTGTAGTAAAAAGGTTATTTTTATGCAGTTGGGATAGACTGAAAGAGAAACTTATTCTCTTATTCCGATCGCAGCTTAGAAAAGAATCCACCTTAATAATCTGTAGTTTTCAATTTACAGATTTATTGAATCTGTGGTTAAAATAACACAACGTGAAGTCTGTCACTGTCAAATTTCAATTCAATTGTCAAAATAAAAAGCGGTGTTTGAAAGTTTGTATGTTTTTTTTAATATGGATTTATAAAGTAAACTAAAATGAAAGATCCTAAACAGACACAAACCCCGATAGAGGATTTAGCTGAACTGAGAAGTTATTTTTCCTCACATAATGTAGTTAGAGAATACATAGCACATACATCGAAAGTTCACTCTGTTGGTTGGTCGTGTGATGGACGAAGACTAGCCTCAGGATCGTTTGATAAAAGCGTAGCGATATTTAATTTAGAAAAAAGCAAATTGGTAAGTATGACTTTTTTTCGTAACATAACTGGCAAACGAGCAACCGGCCCCCTGAATCCGCCAAAATGGCGAAACGACCACTTCCCATAGACATCCGCAATTGCATGAACAGAGAGATTACACAAAAAGAGGATATTTCCCCTTCCTATGCAACTCCTCTACTTGCCCTTCACATCCTCTCCCTATAAAAAAGGGTGGTAAAGAAAAAGGGACTTAAATTAGGCCTCTTTATGTACTTTTAATGTTTATTAGAAGGTATAGGTTTTTTGTCTTATATTTTCACCAGGTCCAGGACTTCGTATTCAAAGGGCACACAGGGTCAGTAGACCAGTTGTGTTGGCATGCCTCACATGCGGACCTCCTCAGCACGGCCAGTGGAGACAAATCAGTCAGGATATGGGATACAAGGTAAATGCTTATTAAACATTTAGTTAAAAATCAATAATACATTTCTTAATTGTATTTTTACCCTTCAAATTCAGGTAAATCTAAGTAAACATTTGTGAAAAAAAAAAACATTTCTTATTGTTTTCTTATTTAGTTACAACAAAATAGCACTGTTTTACTAAATTCATATATCAGCCATGTTAAGGATATTTTCTCTCAAGAATTTACTAATGGTTATTTTATAATCATGTGTAAAATATTATTAAAAATATAATAATAAAAATCTATGGAAAATCATGTAATTCTTTTGATATGCATAATTTAAATAAATCGTTAATAGTGTGTAAGGATATAAAATAGACTTTCCATTCTTAAAATTCCACATTTTCCCTTCTCCATTGTTAAATAATTATTAACTTCCCGGTTATATTTTCCAGATCACACAAATGTGCAGCCAGTATATCAACAAAGGGAGAGAATATAAACATAGCATGGTCTCCCAACGGCAGCACTATAGCTGTAGGCAACAAGGAGGATCTTGTCTCATTTATAGATACACGCACATACAAAGTAGTGAGTATTATATAATACTAGTTGTTACTTGTGTCTTCGCCCACATGGAATAAAAAAGTAAAATAATAGCCTATGTTACTCACTTATAACATAGCTGCGATGGTACAAGAAATAAATCGGCCCATTATTTTTTGAGTTATTTCAATACATACAAAAACACAAAAATACATATCTTTCCACTTTATAATATTATGATTGCCAGCAGACTGGATTGCAGATATATTAATCACTGCATAACACTGCATGTGGCAGCAGATGATTGTACATTTTAGAATAATATTGTATGTGTGACTAACAGGTATTAAGATTTTTCTGTTACTAACTATAAGCAAAAAAAAACAAAAGTGAGTAGCCTATGTGTTCTTCCAGACTATCCTCCACATATATACCAAATTTCATTGAAGCCTGTTCAGCCATTTAGGCTACAAACTCTAACAAACATTCATCCATCTAAACTTTCGCAATTATAATATTAGTTAGATTAGTAAGAAATAAGAATAGTATAGATTGGTAACCTAACAGTGGTAGAGCCTGCTTTAACATCTTCGCACGAATTTGCCGGCTCGCCCGGTGTAATACCACGACCACACAGAAAACAGGCGTGAAGTGGAAGCAACTTCGCGTTTCGTCTGATAAGTGTGGTGTCGGAGGCCTGATTTTAGTCCCTTTCGTTTTCCACCCTTTTCTTAAGAGGATGGGAAGGAGAAGTGGATTTTTGATGGTGGAGAAGACGCATAGGAAGGGAAAATGTCCTCTTTATGTGCGTCTCCTCCGTCAATCAAGGGTGGGCAACGCATCTGCAATTGCGGATGTCTATATGCAGCGGTCGCTTTCCATTTCAGTGGATTCAGGTAGCCGCTTGCTCGTTTGCCATCTTATGTTATAAAAAAAAGATGATTTTGTTTATATCAACATAATTCTTCTTCTTTTCTTCTTTTGGTGCCGTCTCCTAACGAAGATTGGCAATCATTACAGCGACTTGAAGTTTGGACACAGCAGCTCTAAATATAGAACGCGT